CTTGAACTATATTGACTTTCATTTGGTTTTATGCACACAGCCTAGTTTTAGCTTTTCTTGAATATTATTATTTTTTTATTTTTTTATTTAAATTGTAAGGACCTGGAGCCAAATAACATTCTCGAGAGTCCGACTCATCTGTCCAGAGTCGGTGGCGCCCAAAATTAAAACCCACCCCTACTCTCCGAATTGTTTAATTCTGAGCTAGGGCATAAAGTGCACGCACTACGACCTTCAATTCTACAATCTCAAGTTCTTCATTAAATTTTATTTTTATTCTTTTTTATTTTAATTTTATTTTTTTTATTATTTTACTTTCTTTCTAAACTTCTTATTCACCGAAAAAGCGTGGCAGACTTCGGCACTACGCAGCTCATTCCAGCTACGAATTTACATTTGATGAATCCACAATAATTCAAATTGCTCAAGAGCATGTATTGGGCAATAAGAACAACAAGAGACAACTAATAACTCTTCCTTGTGACGCGTTTCAGAAGGAGGGAATAGAAGTGGCTGTTGCCGAAGAAGATGCGAATCGAGAGATCGTCATAACGGCGCTTTCAAAAAGAGCAGTAGCCGATCGGCTCGTCATAGTGGGAGAAGACGTCGACCTGCTCGCTCTTCTCAATAGTTTAGGCGCTGATTAGACAAACGTTTACCTGCAGAAGAGCACGAAGGGCAAATCTTGTTACCGTTACTACTCTACGAACTCCTACAACCACCAGGACTCCTAGCGATCACCAGGGATGGTACTATTCACCCACGCTTCTACCAGGTACGATACTATCTTAGCACCGTTTGACCAAGGAAAGACCAAAATCACCATATCTTCCTTCGGCCAGACTCCACCCCACAAGCCGTAAGAGAAGCAGGCATAAAGTGCTTTGTGGCTCTATATAGCGGTGACATCACGAAGGATACTTTGGATGTCCTGAGGTATAAGACGTTTGTGACTTCAACGAGCATAAACCTCGTTTGTTTGCCACCGACTGAAGATTCCGCAGACCACCATGCAGCAAGGTGCTACCTCCAAGTGCAGAAGTGGCGGGAAGTCAATTTGAATCCCACTGATTGGGGGTGGAAGCTGTCTTCTCAAGGACTCATTCCCATCCCCATCACCATGGATCCCGCACCTACTGCGAACAATTTCATGTAAATGCAAGAAAGGATGCGCTAGGGACTGCTCGTGCAGAAAGGCTGGGCTTCACTGCTCAGTCCTGCCCAGTCATGCGGTGGCAAATTGTGCATTACCGTCACGGATATGGAGCTGTGATGCTCGGACGATGAATATGACCCGACTACAAACTGGGCGCCTCTCCAAGCATCCATCACAGCCAGTGAGACACCATATTCGTGCGAGTCCAAGGCATGATTTGGCAACCAAAACACAATGCATACTTACATGATTTATTTTAGTTTTCTTTTCTGTGTAAATTTAATTTTTCCTTATACTACCATGATGTTTGTACAAGCATTGTAGTATATGAGGTGTATAAAACGTTTGATGATGATTTTATATAGGTATATTTTCTTTTTTTTTTTTTCATCCAACAATTTTTTAAAAATAACAAAGATAAATAAATTTCAACTATTTGATAAATAAAACCATAAAAAAGAGGTGAGATCTGTATTATGTTTGGGTTTTCAATCAAAATACTTCATAACAAAAATATACATATATTCCACTAGACTACGAGACAAGACTTGATAAGATGACAAGACCAAAGAAATCACCTGCTGGTGTAACTACTGGAGCGTGTCAACTAACAATCTAAAGCTATTGCCACGTATTGACGACATAGGCCAAACATTTATAATACATCTTCCTTTTTTTTTTAACATTTATAACACTACTACTATACTAAAAAACAAAAAATAACAAACTAAGATTATAGCTACAAATTCAGTTTTATAGGTTTTTTGATTATGCGTCCTGATCTTGTTCTTGAACTAGGTACTGTTAATTTGGTGACTAGTGGGTTCATCACTGGAATGAGCACTATTTCGAACAGCCAAGTTTTGTGAATGTTCATAGAGAGGTGCACATATATTTTCACTTGCGTCATTTTCTGGAAAAATTACCTGCTCAGTTAGATCTTGATGATTTTCTTGATTAAATTCATTATTGGATTTTTGAAGATCAAATCTATTCCCGCGTAACACATTTCCTGATTGATCCACTATCTTATATGATCTAGGAGCCTTATCAAGTTCTATGAATTTACCTGGCTCCCATCTTTAATTACTATGATTGTAGACTGAAAGAGTTTGACTGTCTGGTTGCAATAAATCAGCACAGACTGGTAGTTTAGTTTTACACATTCGATTCATTAAAAGCTGAAAAGGGGTGGAATTTATGTATTTCAATGGTGAATTTAGATATTGTAATAGACTCTCGAAGATATCTTTTCCTTTTTCTATTTATTTTTTTTTGCATTTTCTTTGCTATTCCTACAGCCTTTTCGGCCAACCCATTCGACCAAGGGTAATTTGGGCTACGAGTGAATATCGAAATTCCATTTCTTTGCAAACTCGTACATAGTGTGGCTACCGAATAGTACATTATCAATAAGTTGATCTGGGTTACCAAATTTTGAAAAAATAATTTTTAATTTTAAGATCATCTCATGAGCAGACTTATTTTTTAAAAGTAATATTTCAAGCCAAGTTGAGTACGAGTCCTACTACAAGATACAAATTATTCGCATATGAAAAAATATCAGCCCCTATTCTTTGGCATGGTCGGTCCGGAATTGGATACGGCAAAATAGTTTGCTTTTTATTTTTTACTGCGAACCGTTCAAATATCAAGCATTTTACTATATAATTCTCAATATCACGGTTCATACCAGGCCAGTAAAAAATTCGTCTAGCCCTACTCTTCACCTTTTCCAAGCCTACATGACTTTCATGCAATTTAATTAGCATTTCCTTTCTTACTCCAACAGGAAATATTAGTCTATAATCAAAAAACAATAAAGAGTCAGGCATGAAAAGAGAATCTCTAATTTTGTAATAGTGTCTAATGCATTCTGGTATAAGCTTTTCGTTTTTAGGCCACTCAGAAGATACAAATTCAATTAACTTTTGTAGTGATAAATCAGATTTATAGGCCTTTTTAAATTGATTTTTTTTTCAGCAGATACCTGGAGACAGAATGGACAACATGTTCTAATTCTAGGTCCAGATTCAAACTGTTTTCATTGACAAATGCTCGCGATAGAGACAGATATGTACAGATATTTTTCTGGTTTGTAAATTACTTTGAGATTATAATGAAGTAATTTAAATAGCATTCGCTGCAGTCTAGGGGCAACTTGTTGCAACTCTTTTTTAAAAATTGCCTCTAAATGCTTGTGGTCAGAAAAAAAGTGTCACATATTGAGCCCCATATATTAGATAATGAAATTTTTGACAACTAAAAACAATAGCGAGAAGCTCTTTTGCTATCTGTGCATATCTGGTTCCACTTTTTGATAGACTACGAGATGCAAATGCAATTGGATGACCCTGTTGCATAATACAGGACCCTATTCCGCTTTTTGAAGCATTAGTTTCTATTTCTATTGGATAGGCAGGATTGAAAAAAGCTAGAAATAGGCCATTGGTTATTAAATGTTTCAGTTGATCGAAGGATTTTTCATGTTCACTGTCATATTGCTAATCTGCGTCATGTCTGCGTCACTATGTGTGTCAAATTTTTTAAAGGTGCAGTAATTTTGGACATGTTAGGGATAAATTTACTCAGATACTTACCCTTAATAAATCTTGTTTATTGATTGGAGTAGGCATATCTATGATTGCTTTGACATAATTATCACTAGGCTACTTTTTGAAAAAAATTGACCCATAAATCTCACTTGTTTGGATTTAAATTGAATTTTCTCTTTGTTAAATTTTATGTTCAACCTTTCAGCTCTTTCTGACACAATTCGCAAATTTTGGTCATGCTCTGATTCTGTTGAGCCTGTTATGATTATGTAGTCAAAATATATTCCCACTCTTGTAATGTCACCGAAAAATTCAGAGCTTAATTTTTGGAACACCTCTGGGACTGAACAAATGCCAAATGGTAAAAGATAAAACTTATATAACCCAAAAGGAATTCCAAATGTACACAGATCCGATGACTCATCATTAATACCTACTTGAAAATAACCATCCTTTAATGAGGACTGTATAAAGTATTCTTTATTGCAAAGCCTATTTGCAATTTCATCCGATGTAGGAATTAAAAATGGTTCACGTTTGATAGCTTGATTTAGAAATTTAAGATCAAGACACAATGTTAGGTCACCATTCTTTTTCTCCACAATTACCAGGGCGTTAAGCCAGTCTAGGCTTTTCAACTTTACTTATAATATTTGCACACGTCTTAAAGCCTGCTTATGTGGTATAGAACCATTTTTGAGTTCAATTAAATTTACTACAACTTCATTCCATATAATATTTGACGTGGGATGCATATTTTAGAAAAAAATTCACAAAATAAATTACCATTTCGAAAAAATTTCACTTTTTGAAAAAAATGTCCTATTTTCGTAGAACTGTATCTTGGGAACCAATGGCTGTATAGAGCTCGTCCTGGTCTCAAATTATAGCAAATTAAGTCTACTTTAGGATGTACAGTGACTATACCGGCCAGACCCTGCCTTCACACTGAGATATTGAGTAAAAACTGAAAAAAGTCCGAAAATTTCATGTTTTTTTGGATACACCGCCGCTGACACAGCGAAACATATAAACAATTCAGAACGACTGGGCCTTTTGCAAGCACGACCCCTTTTAATGTTCAACTTTACGGAACTAATTAGAAAGCATGAGGTGTTTAGTAGTGTGGTGATAACGCACTGATCTTTGTATTGCTTAGATGCGGAAATTGGTCAGAACCTTGTGGATTTATTCAACTTTTGATGCGTGATTTTTGAAGCAATATTGACTGAACCAATAAAGAAAATATAAATTACTTTCATGAATAAATGTTTAATATAACGACTTACCCTTTGCCATGAATAAATATAGGCGATATCTATGAGGGTGTAATGGTCAGGCAGAGGAACTCTTTTGTAAAGGACATCAATCTAGAACCAAGAAAATGTTATGTATATTTTTATAAATAATTGAAGGAAAAAAATACTTACAAAAAATTGATTGGTATCAACATTGTATTTGTTTCTAACAAACTTCTTTAGTACTTCGATTCGGCACATGCCGGGACAGTGCAGGTACCTCTTCATTTGAGAATCTTGGTTCTCATCGAAGGTACCGGTATTTTTTTCTGGGTCGGTCGCGATTCCAGGTATGCGAATAGCGCCAGGGGTGGAGTCATCGCTGTAACAAAGAGAAAAATGATTAGAGAAAATAATTCGCAGGCGAGGTTTGGAATATTGAAGCAAAAAAAAAAAAAAACACTTTCTGAACACGTTTGTGGTAATTTTAATGAAACCATAACACGGCAAATAGGCGCAGCGATAACAAAAGAATTCCCGCCGAAGCTTTGCTCGAAAAACCCTGAATTATGAATGAATTGGTTTTATTTCTCATGTCGGGTCGGGAGGGCCCACTTGCCAAGATAACAATCTGGGCTGTTCGGGTGCTCCAGGGTTATTTCTGAAATCGCTCTCCGTTGGCGCATCGCATCGGTCGAACCTTTTTCGAGCTTTGATTTATTAGACACGTCGCGTCGGTTCTATAGCAACGCCAGCAACGCTAAACTTATGGAATTTCGGCGCTAAATGAATGAATGTGTGATTTACAAAGGGTTTCTTTAATGGGGTTGGCTTCTAGTTGGCTCTCTTGTAAAATACGTAGGTATTTCTCTTTTTTATTGTGCCTATTTTGATTAGGTAGGGTAACACACAAAAATTATAAATTAGTTTTTCAATTTCGTCAATTTCAAAAGTTTCGCCAGATGAAAACATTGCGTGGTTATTTCTTCCATAAAATCCTGCTGAATCACATTTAAAATTAAATTTCCTACCGAAAAACGGATCCATTAACCATCCCGCGGCCAAACGCAATATTGTCATAAATTCAGTCAATTTACCAACGAAACCGGTGAATCGAATGAGCTCAGTTTGCAATGCAAATTCCCAATCGTAAATATTAGCGAGAGGAAAAGACAGAAATAATTTCTACCAACTGCTTTAAGGCCGACTGCGGGGTCTCAAATTGCGAAAAAACTTTATTATTTTTGACACGTAAAAAGTTCGGAGAACTTATTTAATAAAGAGTTCGAGAAATTAATTGTCCTGTCCTCTAATAACAATAAAAATATACATATTGTAGTATAACATACCCGGGTTCGTTCAGTAAGATTGAACAGTTTGAATTTTTTATTATCTCTTCTTTAAACATATCTTCTGAAAAACACAATGCGTAAAACAAATAGAATTAAGTAAGTTTCCACAACGTATACTTACTCAATCTTACTTACTTGACATGCGCTCGACAATAACAAAATTAGGGATATTTAAGGGAAGTTGTAATATGTAAAATAAACGAAACATTTGAGAATCGTCTAATTTATTATTGAAGAAAATCGTACCATTCTCGACCTAGAACTCACGAGGGGAAAGAGCACGGCAGAGAAACCCTCGATCTAAATTCCTCAAAAATCAAAACATACAGTGTCATTTTAATAATAATTGTAGTTTTGAGTCAATAAAAGTTTAAATTAGGTACCGTCCCTACCCAATATATATCTCTAGATTGATTTTTCAATTTGTTGACTAGGACATTCGCTCGTCAGGGTAGGAAAGGGTTAGTAGATTCAACAAGGCCTTAATGCACGTTCTGATTACCAAAAATTAGAATCCCAGCACAAAAGACAGCACCTAACTTCTTAAGTTTTAATTTAGTTTTTTTTTTATCTGCATTATTCACAGCATGAAAACATGTATAAATTGAACTCTCAAAAACAAAGTAACATTTATTCAACTGACCTGTGAATGCTTCTTATGACAGACAAACTACTCACAAACTTGATTGAACGATCAGTTTAAGACAAAATAAAAATTGAATAATGAACAATGGCAGACAAGCTGCTTCTTCGCTGGTCTCTCATTGAATGAAATGCTGCGAAGGAGCATTCCTATAGCTCCGATTGTTCTTCCTCGTCATCTAGCATGGGAGATCTGTAGCTGCATAATTCACCATTACATTTTCCATACATGGCGGAACATGAAAGTCCCTCTCCGCGAGTGACATCTTTGGGCACAGTCAGTTTTACAATTACAAAATACCAACTTCAATAAATTTTCGGGGGCCAAAGGGTCAACTGTAGGAATTGGCACCAGTTGTCCCTGTCTTTTCTTCCATCCTCAATCAGTAGCAGGAAGTTCTACCCCACGCCAAGACTGAACATGATGAAAAACTCTGTAGCAGTGTTGTTTTGCTGCTCCAGATGTTGGTGGTAATACCGAAAGATTAAACTTTCCAAAAACGGGTTGTTTAGCTATAACCCTTAACAGTTAAATCTGATTTTGCTTAAGTCATCTGAAAAAAAGCGACCGTTATATAATAGTTTTAAGAAATACTCTCCGGCTTAAGCTATATCTTTTTTGGTTGCATTGGTATCATTGAATGTGGAAACCTTTTGTCTTAATATCCACAGACCTCTTAGCCCTATTTGTTCTTCTAATATGTTCTGCATTCTTCGTACTATATCATTGTAACCATTAAACACTATAGTACTTTCAAGGCCATAGCGTGTTTTTATATAGGTAGACGATGAAACTGTCACATATGTATTTGGAAAAACGAACCAGGTTTTGGCCAAACCACTCCATGCAGAAGATAACCACCATCTATTACAAAACAAGGTTCTGAAGGCAAACTGTCCGGGATAGCAATATAACCTTTTTTCAACGCTAGGGTAGTTATCATATTCACAGGCAACTTTGATTATAATCGCGGCAGCTTCAACGATTCGCATTCGCTCGTCTGTACTATTTTTTAATTTGTCCTCATACCACTTATCATTTAGGATACGAGAAGCTGTACCCTGGGAACATACTGTCCATTTTCCACTTTTTGATCTCAGACTTAAGTTTAATTTTAACATATTCTTCGGAATAAACGTCTCAGTCGAGGGATTTTTCTTTCATTACTGACATCAATTCTTTTGTGTCGTACTGACATTCATCATTATTTTCTAGAAAATCACACAACTGATAAAATGCATTATGTTTTGCCAAGTTTGAACCTTTTTTCTTATCACACAAAGAAAGAGGCACGGCACGATTAACATTGAAAATAGGCCCCCGTAAATTTCAAACAAATTTCAATATTTTAAAGGTATCATCATTGCCAAAAAAAATTTGAAATGTAAAGAGGATCGTACATCTGTGATAGCAGATATAGCTTGTCAAATTACGTAGTTCTTTCTATGCTATGCATAGGAATTATCCGAAGAAATATACCTACGTAGATTTTCTTAAATATTTCGAAAAATACTAATTCGATTTTGACGTGTTTGGGATTTGATACCTACAAAAGGACCCCAAAAACGTCCTGCGTCCCCACCACCCGGCACAGGCTGCAACACCAGAAATTATGAATAACGATACTTGAAGCTACCCGTCTACCAACTTTTAGCTTTATATTTTGTTTTAAGAGATGTTGCTACGTAAGCAGGTTCCTAAATAAGTGAGACTAGAAAATGGATCAGAATTTATTATAAAACATATCTCCTGATAAATAGGTACCAAAATCAGAAAAGGAATCAACAAAGAATAAATGGTTTGGATATAAGAAATGAGAAAGACGAACAACTGGACAGTTTTGTAACTGCGGAAGAAACACACCATTTGTTTACAACTTTCCCCAAGAAGGCTTTTCAGTTATTCTTCTTCCAAAAATACTCCAGAATTTCGGAAAATATTATTTTAGAAATCGAATTAATCAAAGGCAATAGTTGCATATCAGTTACAAACCTATCGACGAAATAAAACTCCAGAAAATCTTAACGAAAAAGCAGCCAGTAATTGATGAGATTTACAAAAAACCTAAGCTTTTGTCGTTCTCTAAACAACGAGATGGAAGAACAAGCAATACTAAAACTTGCAAATAAGATAAACATTATTTAGAACCGAGGATTACAAGACGTGATAGACAATATGCAAACAGCACCTGAAATTTGTTGTTACAAACAAAACACGTACCATGGAAGACAGATAAATTCTAGTAATTGATTGATAGCGTGAAACGACTTAAGAAAAGCATGGAAAATGAGGACATATAATAAGAAATCAGAAGCGAATCAAGAAAAGACAAGGAGAACTGGATTGGGAAAAGGTGTGAAAATATTTAGGAGAAGTATGATCATTTCAAAGTGCATAAAAAGGTCGAAAGAGCAGCAGGAATCTACATCAAAAACACACAGTAGGAAGACTATTTAGTGAAAACAACTGTAATACGATGATCGTAGAGGTTCTGGAATATAACAAATGCCAAACATATTTTTCTATTTAACAACAGATGAAGTTGAAAAAATTATTGAAGAACGGAACATTTTCAAATCCGAGCCATACACAGAGTTGGAGGTTTTCAAGCTACTCGACAAGGTCGAAATTAAATAGCTTACATAAGTTATGTTTCAAGGATTCTGGGGGAAGCAAAAAAATCGTCACACTACAAAACACTCTATATTGCAACATATAACATTCGAACACTAAAAAACCCAGATAAAAATTTTAAACTGGAAGAGGAACTCTCGAAAATAAAATGGGATATTCTGGGTCTCTGATGCGAAACCAGACGACCAAACGAAGAATGCACCACACCTAAATCAGGTCATGTTCTGTATCAGAACAATAAATCAACTAACTCGCACAAAGGAGGGGTAGCACTTCTGATAAATAAAAGCGTCAAACACTTGGTTACAAAAATGAAAGCAATATCAGAAAGAGTTATTTACATCACCTTAAAACTTTCAAGATACAAGCTTCCACCCTTATTCTGGAAACATACAACCCGAAAGCACAAAGATCATAACAATCATCCAAGAGTACTATAAGAAACTCTACTCAGCACCACACCACAATCAAGATGTCGAACAAAACATGAACATAAAGAATGCAGGTTCTGAAGGCATACCAGAAATCACCATCTCGGAGATAACACTTGCACTCTCACAGCTTAAATCTGGAAGAGCTCCTGAGGAGGACGGAATCACAACAGGAGTGCGTTCGAAACTACCCTGGGCATCACACCGAGTGCACACCAGCCATAAATAATTCATAGCTGGTGTGCACTCGGTGTGACGCCCAGGGTGATTTCGAACGCACTCTAGAAATGTTAAGACTAGGAGGAGAAAATGCGCTAAAAGC